CCTCCTCCCTTCGTCCGGCCACCGCTCCCTTCGAGACTCTCCACTTGGACGTCTGGGGCCCTGCCCCGACGCAGGGGTCTGGGAGGGAGCGTTACTTTCTGGTGGTCGTCGACGACTTCTCCAGGTACACCACAGTGTTCCCTCTTGCGAAGAAGTCCGAGGTGACTGCTACGCTGATCAGGTGGCTTCTAGCCACTGAGGGCACTCGTGGTCGTCGAGTCAGTTGTCTCCACTCCGACTGTGGGGGCGAGTTTCGCTCCGGCATTCTCGGCGGATTCTGCGGCGAACAGGGCATCACCCAGTCCTGGACGCTGCCAGAGTCCCCACAGCAGAATGGGGTTGCTGAGCGCCGCATAGGCTTGGTCATGGACATCGCCCGCACGTCCATGATCCATGCCCGTGCGCCCCATTTTCTGTGGCCCCACGCGGTTCGCTACGCCGCACACCAGCTGAACCTCCAGCCGCGTGTCTCGCGGCCCGAGGTTTCACCGACCAGTCTTTGGACTGGTTCCCCTGGTGTCGAGTCGGCCTTTCGAGTCTGGGGCTGTCTTGCACTTGTTCGCGACACCTCCGCGGACAAGCTCTCGGCACGCGCCGTCCCCTGTGTCTTCCTTGGTTTCCCAGTGGACTCTTCCGACTGGTCCTTTTACCACCCTCCCCTCCACCAGTTCCTCGACTCCCATGACGTTCGGTTTGACGAGTCAGTGTCCTACTACACCCGGTACCCCTGTCGAGGTCTCCCGGTACCCCCTCCCCCTCTTTTCCTCGCACCCTCTCCTCCTCCTGCTCCCGCTCCTCCGGTACCCCCGCCCCCCCCGGTCCTGCCCCGTCTGGTGTGTCCCACGTTACCCCTCTACCCTCGGTCGCGCGTCAGGTAGCGTCTCCCTCCCCGCAGTCCTCCTCACAGTCCCCTCAGCAGCCTTCGGCACTTCCGCGACAGGTTACTGTGGACTCGGTTGGTGTTGGAGCTGGAGGTGCAGCCACTGGCGGTGCTCGGTCTGGGGGTACTCGGTCGCGGGGTGCTGGAGCTGGAGGTGCTGGCGCAGGTGGCGCTAGCTCTGGGGGTGCTGGAGCTGGAGGTGCTGGCGCAGGTGGCGCTAGCTCTGGGGGTGCTGGAGCTGGAGGTGCTGGCACTGGTGGTGCTAGTTCTGGGGGTGCAGGAGCTGGAGGTGCTGGCACTGGCGGTGCTAGTTCTGGGGGTGCTGGAGTTGGAGGTCCGGGCACTGGAGGTGCTGGTTCTGGGGGTGCTGAGTCTGAGGAGTCTGACCCTGGTTCTGCGGAGTCCACTCCGCCTCCCCACCGCCACGACACACGACTCCAGGCTGCCCGCCGGCGTGAGCGTGAGGAGCAGGAGCGGTTGGAGAGGGAGCGGCAGGAGCTGCGGGTGCTGGACCTTCTGGAGCAGCAGCGGCAGCAGCAGCAGCAGCAGCAGCAGCAGCCGCAGCAGCATCCGCAGCAGCAGCAGCCGCAGCCGCAGCCCCCGCCGCAGCAGCAGCAGCCGCAGCCGCCACCGCAGCTTCCTCTGGAGCGGCGGTTGTTCCCACCTGTGAGTGGCCTGCGGGCCCTTGGTTTTTCCTCCTCTCCTCCTGTCCGCTCCCTGTCTCCTCCTGTGTTTGTTCCTCCGTTGCCTCCTCCTGACGACCGTCCGGCGGTCTGGTCTTCTCCTCCTCCCCAGTCTCCTCCTCCTTCGGTCCGTCGCGACTTGGTCACTCGTTGTCCTCCGCGTGCTCGTCACTCGTCCCCTGTTACTGACCTCCACACTGCCCTCCTTTGTACGTCTCGTCGTCGTTCTCCTTCTCCTGTGTCCGTTCTCCCGTCTCCTCCTCCGTCCTCTCTCCCAGCCCTCCCCACTCCTAACACTGACTACTACCGCACTGTTCGTTCTGTTGCCGCACGTGTCCTCGCCACTCTTGTCACCGACTCTCGTTTCCCTCCGTCGTCGGTCTCTGCTCTTACTGCCGCTGTCGCTGAGTTTGCTGCCGCCACCCGCCTTGACTACGCCACCCGTGTGGTGCCAGCTCCTCCCTACCGTCCTCTGTCTGTCGGGGGTGGGTTTGCCCTTGGCTGTGACGTCCTAGAGGACAGAGAGTCTGAGCTGGAGTACTGGGCAGCCGCTTCTCCCTCTGTGTGTGCCATGCTGCTCTCCCCTGAGGGAGACCCCGACGCCCTTGACATACCGACTCCTCGCACTTACCGCGAGGCAGTGTCAGGGGCGTGGGCCTCTCAGTGGAAAGCGGCTATGGACTCAGAGTTGGCGTCTTGGAGATCCACAGGCACCTACGTCGACGCAGTTCCCCCTCCCAGGGCGAACGTAGTCGATGGCATGTGGCTCTTCAAGGTGAAGCGGCCGCCTGGAGCACCGCCGGTGTTCAAGGCGCGCTACGTGGCTAGGGGCTTCAGTCAGCGTGAGGGAGTTGACTTCTTCCAGACCTTCGCCCCGACCCCGAAGATGACTACTCTTCGGGTGTTACTCCACATAGCAGCGCAGTGAGACTACGAGCTGCACTCCCTCGACTTCTCCACTGCGTTCCTCCAGGGCCGACTGCACGAGGAGATCTGGCTGCGCCGTCCTCCTGGCTTCACTGACACCTTCCCACCTGGGACCCAGTGGAGCCTGAGGCGACCAGTCTACGGTCTCCGCCAGTCGCCCCGTGAGTGGCACGACACTCTTCGCTCCACGCTTCGTGACCTTGGGTTCAGCCCGTCCTCCGCCGACCCGTCGCTGTTTGTTCAAGCGGGTTCTATTCCTTTCTTTATCCTTGTCTACGTCGACGACTTGGTGTTTGCTACAGCAGACAGGGCAGCCCTGGCTCAGGTGAAGTCCGAACTGCAGAAGAGACACAAGTGCACTGACCTGGGTGAGCTGCAGCATTACCTTGGCTTGCAGATCACCCGGGACAGAGCCGCTCGCACCATCACACTGACGCAGTCACACATGGTGCAGCAGGTCCTTCGGCGGTTCGACTTCCAGTTCTCCACCACTCAGCCCACTCCTCTTGCTGTTGACCACAGACTCACGGGCCCCTTTCCTGACGAGCCCTTTGAGTCCAGTGGACCCTACGCAGAGCTGGTGGGCTGCCTCATGTACCTGATGACTTGTACTCGACCGGACCTCGCCTTTCCCCTCAGCATCCTTTCTCGCTTTGTTGCGACTGGGAGACACCGCCCTGTCCACTGGACAGCTGCTGTGAGGGTGGCGAAGTACCTGGCGACTACATCAGGCATGGGGCTTGTGCTTGGAGGGACTCGGCCAGTGGCGTTGACTGGTCACTGTGACTCTTCCTACGCTGACGACGTGGAGACTCAGCGCTCGACTCAGGGTTACTGCTTCAGTCTGGGAGCTGGTGCTGTGTCATAGAGGTCTACACGGTCGTCGTCTGTGGCTACTTCCAGTGCAGAGGCAGAGATCTACGCTGGTGCCATGGCGGCACAGGAGCTTCGCTGGTTGACCTTCTTGCTCGCCGACCTTGGTGAGCGGCCTCGCTCTGCACCGACCTTGTACGCTGACAACAAGGCCATGATCCTCCTGTGTCGAGAGCCTCGACTGGAGAGCAGAGTGAAGCATATTGACGTGAGGTACTTCCTCCTGCGAGAGCTGCAGCGACGCGGCCAGGCACGCCTGGACTTTGTGGCCTCAGAGGCCAACACTGCAGACGTCTTCACCAAGGCCTTGGCGCTTGGTGACCACCACAGGTTCTGTGTGCAGTTGGGGCTAGTTGAGGTAGGCCCTCGGTTGCTGTAGTCCTGTTGCTTGCTCTGCTTGTTGTGCCTTGTATTTATATCCTAGTGAACTCTTGAACTGGCCTTGTGGCCGCTTGCTTGCGCTCGGAATTTGTGTGGTGTCCTTGAGATCCACCCTGAGCTTGTCTTGGTTCTTGCTTTGACTGGTCTTGTGACCGTTTGTTCACCTTGCTTGCTTTGATGCCCCTCACTTAGCCTATGGGGGTGTGTCAAATGTTGAACATTGATATGATAGGCTGTAGTGAGTTGCACTCTAGGGGGTACAGTTTCTAGGGTTGCTTATTTGTACCCCATTCGTTTCTATTCCAACCATTCCGTTGCTAACCACTCTTGAGATCCCGCACTTGTCTGCATCGCCTGCATGTGCTGCACAAACAGTACATTTGAACGCAGGCAACCCCGTGGAGGTTTTCGTAATCACAAGCCAGGGAAATCGAGACGCCCATTGCGTCTTGAACTTGTCTACCGCATCCCCGTAGACATCTGCAATGAGTTGCTCCAGGTTGATGTTGAGCCGAGGGCGCAGCCGTACTGAAGGCCTGGGTTCCGCGTCATCGTCGGTAGTCGACGTGGAAGCCTTGGCGAAGCTCAAAGTCGCCTGCTTCAGGCGGATGGTGCGCGCCGTGGTCTGACTGGGATGGTGCGAGGCAGATGCCACCGTAGGTTCCGCGGCTGTCTCTTCGGTTCCTATCTTTTCGGTAGAGACAGAGATAACCGGTGATGCAGGTTGCTTCTCGGTGGTGGCCTTATCGGGCGTGGACCGTGCTGCCTTCTCGAGTGCGAGGGAGCTTAGCAAAAAATCAAGGCCAGTTAGAACAGGCCGGGCATCAGTCTCGTCATCGGCCGTGGCGGGATCGGCCTGCACTGCCATGGCGGTGGGGTTCTGAGAGAGCCTGCCGAGCAGGAACTAGGGAGGAGGCTACGCTAGAATTACTGGCTGCTGGGGCCAACGGATTGAAGCACGGGGTGTGGATGAATGAAACCCTAGCTCAAAGAGGATGGCACTTTACCCCTCCACGGGCCATCCTTGAGGTGGGATGTGGTTGCCTAACATGCACGGCAACGACGAGGCGCACCTGCTGTGCACTGCTGTCTGCAGTGATTCGTGGCTGCCTAGTGCAGCAAAGTTGGTACAGGCAGAGTCCGCGCTGGAATATCAGAGTTGACTTTCAAAATAAAATCTGAACTTTCCGAGTGACTTAAAAAAAAAAGCTGAAATATCAGAGTTTTTTATGCAAATCAGAGAAATTTCTCTGACTTCAGGGGGCCTGATGGGAGCATACAGTCAAGTGAATTGGGGGAAAAGGCGGGAACGGGGGAAAGGAGTGTTGGGAAGCACGGAGTTTCAAGGTAGTATATGTTTGACACTTTTTGTGCTGCACGAGAGAAGGCTATATGCTAAGCTGTACCACCAATACAATATGTAAGTTATGGAAACATTGCTGATATCATGCATACATGTACTGCATAACTGCGTTACACAGTTACCAGGCAAGGTGTTCGGGTCTCAACTGGCAACCCCCATTCTGGGTACTAACACCAGCCAGCGTCCCATTACCAGTCAGCGCAGCAAAATATGCAAACGTGCTTATGTAGGGACCAGCCTCTATTATAGCCCGCGACTTAGACATCATGAAAAACTCTGCCATTGTGGGGAGGCCTCTATCGAGGCTCCCAGGGCTTGCTTTAGACGTGTGGTAGATGTCTCCTGCTGAGAAATACACCGCTCCGAGTGGCTTCAATAGAGTCACAAATTCCATTCTATGCTCGACGTCATCTGTTGCCAGAAATATGCTTAATTCTTCATCCTCCTCTCCTTCCTCCTCTTCCTCCTCCCCGCCCCCTCCCTGCTTCCCTTCTTGCCCCCCCACCCCTCCTGTCCCCTTTCCCCCATCCTGTAAGCCTTCTTTCCTTAGCCGCTTTTCCGCTTGCCTCCTTTGCTGCAGCAGGGTTGGTTTCAGCTCCCGAACCAGGTGTCCAATGCAGGCCCACAGGCACGTGCGCAGGTACGGTGGCCGGACCACTGCGGCTCGGTCCCAGTCCTCGCACTCCCCTTTGAGGTACCCCTCTGTATCGCTCTTCACCGCTTTCTCTACTGCTAGAGAGCGTGTGCGCACATGCAGTGCTATATCAAAGAAAGCTACTGCCTTGTTGGGTGGCAGAAGGAGGAAGGGAGGGAGAGCGGGGACGGAGGAGGGAGGGGTTGAGGGTCCTGCGGTTGCTGTGGTGGTTGCTGCATTACTAGCAGCACTGGCAGCAGCAACAACAGTAGAAGAAGAGGAGGGGTTGAAGGAGATGGGTTGGTCGGGAGGGGTGGATCGGTGGAGGATTGAGGAGATGGTGGTGAGAAGCTTCTTGGAAGGTCCCATTTGGCCGATGAATGCGAACATGGCTCGGGAATGAACGCACCAGAGGGAGCTGGGGGCGAGAAGGGGGGGAGTGAGTGAGGGAGTGTGAGGGAGTGTGAGGGAGTGTGAGGGAGTGTGAGGGAGTGATCTTTAAGCCGACTGAGAAACCACATGGCTCGGGAATGCATGCACCAGAGAGAGCTGTCAGAAACGGGGGGTTGAGTGAGTGTGTGGGAGAGGGGGGTGCACGAGGGAGTGTGGGAGAGAGGGGGGAGTGAGTGAGGGAGTGTGGGGAGAACAGGGGCGAGTGAGTGAAGGAGTGAGGAGGAGAAACGGACGGAGTAAGTGAGGAGAGAGGTGGGTTTAAGTGGAGAGAGGGAGTGCAGGGAGTGTGAGAAACAAACCAGGAGCAGAAGATCGAGTGAGAGGTTTAGGGTGACAGCATGAAGGAGCATTATAGAAGAGATGAGCATAAGGGTGAGTGAACTTGTTAAGGAGTGAGCAGGAATCCCAGGTAGTGAGTGAGTGGGTGTGTGATGGAGGCAGAGGGCGAGGGAGGGCGAGGGAGGGTGTGGGAGGGCGAGGGCGAGGGAGGGTGTGGGAGGGTGAGGTGGAGAGGGGAAGGTAGAGGGCGAACCGAAAAGCGCCAAACTGAGTAGGTAGGACCTGATGGATATTCATTAGAAGCGCACCTGCACCTGAAGGCAGCATAGACGCAGCTCCTGAGAGTGTCGTTGCGATGCCAGAAGAGGTCAAAGTGAGAGCCGGTGCGAGCCCCGAGGATGGGATGGGTGGAGGCAATGGCGTTCCTCATTGCTGCACACAGTCATGTGATTATTTAGGAGACTCGGAAAAAGCCTTGAGGATGGGATGGGATGAGACGAGGGCGTCCCACGTTGCTACAATGAACGAACCAGAGACAGGTACCGGCGCTTACAAGCATACAGTCATGCATGTGTACAGGCACAACTGTTTCGAAAGACACACGTGCACTGGCTTCAGATCCTTCAGGCATGGTAAGGAGGGATATATGATTTAGGGTGTTCTTGAGAAATATCAAAAGCACCCTGCGACTTCAATCCCATCAGGCATGGGCACGTATGGAGAAATATTAGCTTTGCGCACCTGGAATGCTCTTGATGTTTTCCATAAGATATTTGGGCTGCATTTCATTAAATCGCCGATACAACTCCATCGGCAACAGCATTCCCCCCTCCCCCGCTCCTCCCCCTCCCCCACCCTCCGTTCCATTCCCTCCTCTCCCTCCCCCTACTCCTACCCCTCCTCCTCCCCTGTCTCCTCCCCGGTCTCCTCTGTCTTCTCTCCCTGCTTCTCCCGCCCCTCCACCCTCCCCCGGCCCGCCCCATCTGACCCCGTCAAACCCGCAGTGAAACGCGTGGCACAGGAGGTCATACACCTTGTGGTGCTCCCCTGCGTGCAGGGTGACTAGCCGTCGCCCCGCCAGGCGTGCAAACACAAAGGCCGACACGAAGCCGCGCAGGGAATTGCCGAGGCCATGGCGGGCCAGGAAGACCAGCGAGCGGAGAGAGGGGCGGGAGAGATGGGCCAGGCGGGAGATGGGCGGGCTGGTGGTTCCCCCAAGGGGGATGGGCGAGGGGGGAAGTGGGGGAGGGAGGGGGGGAAGGGGAGAGGCGAAGAAACAGGTGAGAGGCGTGGAACAGGGCGACAGCAGCAGCAGGTCATACACCTTGTGGTGCTCCCCTGCGTGCAGGGTGACTAGCCGCCGCCCCGACAGGCGTGCAAACACGAAGGCCGACACGAAGCCACGAAGGGAGTTGCCGAGGCCGTGGCGGGCCAGGAAGACCAGCGAGCGGAGAGAGGGGCGGGAGAGATGGGCCAGGCGGGAGATGGGCGGGCTGGTGGTTCCCCCAAGGGGGATGGGCGAGGGGGGAAGTGGGGGAGGGAGGGGGGGAAGGGGAGAGGCGAAGAAACAGGTGAGAGGCGTGGAACAGGGCGACAGCAGCAGCAGGTCATACACCTTGTGGTGCTCCCCTGCGTGCAGGGTGACTAGCCGCCGCCCCGACAGGCGTGCAAACACGAAGGCCGACACGAAGCCACGAAGGGAGTTGCCGAGGCCGTGGCGGGCCAGGAAGACCAGCGAGCGGAGGGCAGGGCGGGAGAGGTGGGCCAGGCGGGTAATAGGCTGGCTGCTGGTGTGCGGGAGGGCAGAGGGGGGGAGAGGGATGGCGAGGGGGGGGTAAGAACAGGTGAGAGTCGTGGCACGGTTTAGAGATGTCTCAAAAGAGGTCAGAAGCGTGGCAGAGTAGGCTGTTGCCCAGGCCGTGGCGGGCGAGGAAGACGAGCGAGCGGAGGGCAGGGCGGGAGAGGTGGGCCAGGCGGGAGATGGGCTGGCTGCTGTAAGGAGAGGGGGGAGAGGAGGACGAGCGGTAGGGGGAGAAACAGGTGAGAGGCGTGGCAGAGTAGGCTGTTGCCCAGGCCGTGGCGGGGCGAGGAAGACGAGCGAGCGGAGGGCAGGGCAGGAGAGATGGGCCAGGCGGGAGATGGGCTGGCTGCTGTAAGGAGAGGGGGGAGAGGAGGACGGGCGGTAGGGGGAGAAACAGGTGAGAGGCGTGGCAGAGTAGGCTGTTGCCCAGGCCGTGGCGGGCGAGGAAGACGAGCGAGCGGAGGGCAGGGCGGGAGAGGTGGGCCAGGCGGGAGATGGGCTGGCTGCTGTAAGGAGAGGGGGGAGAGGAGGACGAGCGGTAGGGGGAGAAACAGGTGAGAGGCGTGGCAGAGTAGGCTGTTGCCCAGGCCGTGGCGGGGCGAGGAAGACGAGCGAGCGGAGGGCAGGGCAGGAGAGATGGGCCAGGCGGGAGATGGGCTGGCTGCTGTAAGGAGAGGGGGGAGAGGAGGACGGGCGGTAGGGGGAGAAACAGGTGAGAGGCGTGGCAGAGTAGGCTGTTGCCCAGGCCGTGGCGGGCGAGGAAGACGAGCGAGCGGAGGGCGGGGTGGGAGGAGAGGTGAAAAGGCGGGAGATGGGGTGGCTGCTTTTGTCCCGTAAAGGGGACAGGGGAGTTGGGAAGGGATGAGAAGGAGGAGAGGGGAGGGAGGGAGTGGGGAAGTGGGTGTGGGGGCGGGTGGGGAAGAGGGTGTGGGTGGGGAGAGGGGAGCACACATAAGGAGAAGGAGAGAGCGAGCTGCTCCCAAACAGCCCCTGACAGCCCCCCAGCATAGGTTTTCTCCTTACCCCCATCTGCTGCAACCCCCTTTGGAATGGAAATATCCCACTGCACAGCCCCCTACCAAGACATCCCCCCCACTGCCCACTAGGTTGCCCCCCAGACATCCCCCACACTGCCCCCTAGGTTGCCCCTAAGACATCCCCCACACTGCCCCCTAGGTTGCCCCCAAGACATCCCCCACACTGCCCCCTAGGTTGCCCCCCAGACATCCCCCACACCGCCCCCTAGGTTGCCCCCCAGACGTCCCCCACACTGCCCCCTAGGTTGCCCCCCAGACACCCCCCACACTGCCCCCTAGGTTGCCCCCCAGACATCCCCCACACTGCCCCCTAGGTTGCCCCCCAGACATCCCCCACACTGCCCCCTAGGTTGCCCCCCAGACATCCCCCACACTGCCCCCTAAGTTGCCCCCCAGACATCCCCCACACTGCCCCCTAGGTTGCCCCCCCATCATACCCCCAGGCAACCCCCCCATCATACCCCCAGGCAACCCCCCCATCATACCTCTTCTCATCCTCCCCCGCTGCAGCCCCCCTCGGGAATATCCCGCGGCACAGCTTCTCTTGGGACACCCGGATCGCCACGTCCTCCAGATACTCTCTCTGCCAATCCCACTGCTCCACGTGTACAGCCTCATCCGCCCTTCCCCCACCCACCTCCGTGGTCCGTCCCTCCCCCAACCCCTCTCCGCCCCTCTCTCCCTCTCCTCCTCTCCCTCTGCCCCCATTCGTCATTAAACTGTCCAGTTTCTCTCCCCCCTGCCCTTCCCCTCCCCTTTTCCCTTCCCCTGCCTCCCCTTGCCGTTGCATCGGGCTCCTTGCTGCTTCTCCTCCCGCTGTATCTTTCTTCCCTATGCGAGTCCCCTTCTTATACACAGTAACGGGGACGTCTCTAACATGCTGCGAATCCTCCGCTCGTATCAGCCGCGTTCCCCGTCCCCTTCCCGCACCCTCTCCCCCTCCTTTTCCCCCTCCCCCTCCCCTTCCCCCTGCCCTCCGCGCTTCCCCAGGCTCCTCGCCGCTGGCAATGATTCTCCTCAGCTCGTAGCCCGCTTCCTTGCCCAGCGACGGCAGCGCCTGCAGTGCCTGCGACGGATGCGACGCGTTCGCCCACCAGTGCGACAGCGTCGCGCGGGTGGCCAGCAGCGTCGCACGGCGGGCGGGCGACCAGAGCACTGGGTAGTAGTACCCTGGAAGTGGGAGAGTGGGTGAGAGCAGGACGATGAATACAAAGTCAGGGACTTCTGACTTGAGTCGACTGAAAAACTTTTTAGGTAGGGACTGGGGGCGGTAGCGACTGAATCGAGGCTCAACTGTGATGTTGGGGAGAGCGAGCAGCAGAAGTACGAGTATCAGATAGTGGTAGAGACCGAGGGAAGTAGGGACTGAGGGAGGTAGGGACTGAGGGAGGTAGGGACTGAGGGAGGTAGGGACTGAGGGAGGTAGCGACTGAGGGAGGTAGCGACTGAGGGCGGTAGCGACTGAGGGAGGTAACGACTGAATCGAGACTCACCTGCGATGTTGGAGAGCGCGAGCAGCAGAAGTACGAGCAGCAGGCGACGGTAGCGACCGAGCGCGCCGAGAAACGCGGAGACGACAGGCGCGGATGTGGCGGTGAGAGAGGCGGAGCGAGGGAGCGGACTTATGGCGGAGGGGCGCGACGCGGGGAGGCCCTTGATCTTGACGCGACGCGGTGGCATGGCCGTTGTTACCATTTTAGGCTGCTAGTTATCACACCAGGGTGAGGCTTGGAACCGCTATTCTAAATAGCATAAGGAGCTCGAAAAACTCTTATGTTTGAAAGAAAATCCACCCAGAGTGAAGACATTCCATGAGCTTGAGAATCGGGTGGACGCATAGATTTCACCCGCTCGAACCCGGATTTGCAGTGAAAAAGGCTCGAATATTTGAACCTTGCTCTGACAAGGGACGGTGAACGAATTGCAACGGGGATGCGACCTGCAATTGGGACGGTATCGGAAGGATAGAGGAGTCTCGTATTCCCATGAGGGTGGAAAGGAACGGCGAGATGGTGATCTTACGCGAGTCCGCAAGACACGCAGGTAATTCTGGCAGGGTGAATCCTAGCGGAGTGAATTATGCTGAGTGAACCAGAGGCCTTGAGCAGACTTTCCCCCTGCCCCACCAGAAAAACCACAGAGATTTCAAGGGAAGGTGATCGCGATATTAGCTCACGCGTTTGTGATACTGCTTCTGTGGAGTAACTGTGGAAACTGATTATCAAAGCCAGAACCTTGCAAATTGCGTGTAGTAATGCGTGGTGTGTGAATTCAATGCTAATTTAGAGGAATGGGATTCCACCAAGGTTCCAACACCCATTCTATGAAAGGGGTTTGCGCCGAGAACGAACGGTGCAGAGTGGCTGGATTCGTTTCTAAGGCCGGCACCACGGAACTCGTGTTCAAACCAATACGAAATCCAAACCGAGCTCTCGGAATCATAACCAAAATTATGCGACATCTTGCTTTGCTGCTTTGGTTCGCGAATCGCGGACAAAAGATCCATCAGCTGTCGTCCGTGAAACGCGGACGACGCTTGAGACCCTACGACCTGCCAAGAATACGCCCTGAATTTACTCCCCTCGGTTCCTACAATTGCTATTCGGTCAAGCAATGGATGTCAACGGACGCGATTACACATCGTAGCAGCCTATGTCAACGATTACTGACATAACATCTTACGTCATACGAAGAAACCCATGGCAACGATCTTCTCTACGCAACAAATGGCAGCGTGACACGTAGTTGGAGATCTCCAGGCAAGCTGGAACTTTCAAACACGTTCAGAATGACGGAATCTACAAAAACGACAGGCGAGTTGCCTCAGCTGATTGCTCTGTAAAGTTTGTGACTTTAGATTCGACACACTAATCACCTTGTTTAACCGCCGTGGCTTGCCCGACTCCCTGTGGTCAATGGCTGTAAAAGGCTAACATGACCGCAGACCAGCGTTTTTTACCCTCTATTTTCCCCTTTTTAACATCTAGATCGATCCCTCCCCAACCTTCCACCAGCAGCACCTTCCAAGAAGCCCTCCCGCCGCCGTTCCTCCAGGCGCAAGGGCTGGGCGGCAGTGACGTCATCCTGGGCGGCGGTGTTTGTCGTGGCCCTGGGCCTGCTGACGTGGACGCTGTACCTGTACTCTGCCACCCACCGCCTGCTCTCTCCGCCCTCTGCCTCTGGCTCTACCCGCTCCTCTCCTCGCAAGTTACAGCAGGTTGTAATAGCCTCTTTCTCTTTCTCGTTCTCCACCTCTATCCCTTGTCACCTTGCAAGCTACAGCAGGTTGTAACGTTGTATTACCCTCTTCCCCCGCTCTATCCTCTCCCCCTCCTCGCAACCTACAGCAGGTTGTAGGTCTCCCTCCTCTCCCTCCTCTCCCTCCTCTCGTCCTCTCCCTCCTCTCCCTCCTCTCCCTCCTCTCCCTCCTCTCCCTCCTCTCCCTCCTCTCCCTCCTCTCCCTCCTCTCCCTCCTCTCCCTCCTCTCCCTCCTCTCCCTCCTCTCCCTCCTCTCCCTCCTCTCCCTCCTCTCCCTCCTCTCCCTCCTCTCCCTCCTCTCCTTCCTCGCCCTCCTCGCCCTCCTCGCCCTCCGTTCTTTTGCCTCTCCCTCCTTTCCGCGTCCTCCTTTTACGCTTCCTCTTCCCCGTGTTCCCCCTTCCCTCTCTCCTCTCCCTGCCTTCATCTCCGTCCCCCTTGCTTTTTTCCCTAACCACCATTCTTCTCACTGTTGCTTTCCCTTTACCAGAATCTCTTCCCGTTTTGTTCTCTTCTTGCCGCTCCCTGACGCACCTTCTCCCCTTCCCTTTCGTCCTTCTCCTCTCCCTTCCCTTCCCTTCCCTCCCTTGTCTTCAATCATTCATGCCTCTATTGCGCCAATCAGATCTTGCCACGTGTCAGCTCATGGCAGCAATCGGTGGGAGGAAGCAAGGAGGGACGCAAGGAGGAGGAGGGGGAGCAAGCAGACAGAGAAGCAGTGCGTGTGGGGGAGGGTGGGGGCATGGGGCAAAGGCAAGGGGTTTTCGAGGAGAAAGGGATGGAGGATGGGGAAGAGAGAGGGGACAATGGGATTGATGGGAGGGTGGAGAAAGAAGAGGGGCAGTGGCGGCAGGGGGAGGAGGGGCAGGATAATGGGAAACAGCAAGGGCATGGAGATGGAAGGATATATGGGGAAGGAGGAGGAGAGGGTAAGAGAAACGGGTCAGCCTTGGAGCAGGGAAAGGGGGAAAGGGAAGGGGTGATGGGGAAGTTGGAAGAACAGAAGAAGGCACTGCAGCGACAGTCAGCAGAGGTGCAATCGTGGGAGGAGGAGGTGATTAAGAGGGTAGGGGCAGTTGAGAAGAGGGAGTGGGATGTTGCGAGGAGGGCGAAAGAGATTGATGCAATGGTGAAGGAGATGAAGGAGCGAAAGGCAGAGGAGAGAGTAAAGGCATGGGAAAAGGAAGGGGAAGAGGAGGGGGAGGAAGTGGGGGGGTTGGTGAGAGTGAGCTCAAAAGGAGAGGAAGGGGTTGGGTTAAGGGGGGCTAGTAACGCAAAGGGCTCTGAGGTGACTGTAACGGATGTGACCAAAGGCGGATGGCAGACGAACAGCAGTGCTGCAGTTGAAATAATGAAGGGTGTGACTTTGGTGAAGGCGGAGAAAAGAAGGGAAGGAGCAGCAGCAGCAGCAGGAGGAAGAGGAGGAGGGGCTGGTGGTGGTGGTGGCAGGGGCATGCAGCATGATGTGATGGAAGCGCTTCAGATGCTGAAGCTGAATATAAGGGCGTTGGAGGAGAACGTTGAGACGGTGCTGCACACTGAAAGCAGGTGAGGGGGGAAGAAGGCTGGTGAGCGTGGCAGGGTGAAGGCTGGCTGGTTGGAAGGCGGCTTGTTTGGAGGCTTGGTAATACGAGCACTCAGGCATGAGGTGATGTGACGCTCTTCAGATGCTGAAGGTGACGCGGAGAGCGGTGCAGGGCAATGTTGAGACAGTGGTGCACACTGAGACTCTAAGAGCAGGTGAGGGGCTGGTGGTGATGCCACCAGTTGAGGATCCGCCTACATGCTGCAGTTTAGGACCATGTAGCTACATGCTGCTTCTGAGGAGGCACTAATGCTGCTCAAGCTGACTGACTCTGAGAGCGTTGGAGGGGAGCATTGAGACGGTGCTGCACACTGAAAGCAGGTGAGGGGTGTGGGCTGGTGAGGTGAGGACCTGCTTTTGCATCATGCTGCATGCTGCATCTGACAGGCTCCCAGCCTCCCACCCAGTGACGCTCAAACTCTGCTTGCATCCCTATGTTACTCTTTTTCTCTTTCCCCATCTCCCAATCTCCCAGCCTACTCCCGCACGCCTTTAACGAGACTGCAGCATTCCTGCACCTCCCACCCGGCTCCGTTGAAACTGCCTGTGACGCTCACACTCACCCTCTTTTTACTACTCTCTTTCCTTACCATCCCCCCCTCCCCTCCCACCATCTCCCAACCTCCCAGCCTCCACCCTCACGCCTTCAACGCGACTGCAGCATTCCTGCACCTCCCACCCGGGTCCATCGAAACACCACCAGCAGCAGCAGCAGCACCAGCAGCAGCTGAGCCAGCAGGATCACAGGCAGCAGCAGCAGCAGCGCCCAAGGCTCTGAAACCCCCCAAGCAGTTTGTGCGCGAGGCAGTGGCAGGGCCGCTGGTGATAGCGGGCATGGTGTATAACCGCGTGTTCGATGGGGATTACACGCGCTTCTGGGCTCTACACGTGTGGCAGGTGAGGGTGAGGGAGGGTTGGGTAGGTACGAAGAGAGGGAATAGCAGCCAGCTATCATCGCAGCAGTGTAGCGGGTTTGTGCGGGCAGCAGTGGCGGGCCACTGGTGATAGCGGGCATGGTGTACAACCGAGCCTTAGATGGGCAATCCCACTCGATTCTGGGCACTGCATGTGTGGCAGGTGAGGGTGAGGGATGGTTGAGGGGGGGCAGTGGCGGGGCCGCTGGTGATAGCGGGCACGGTGTACAGCTTCGTTGTCCGCTGTGTGCCAGGCAGTTGTTCGCCTGGCAGTTGTCTGTTTTTCTTTCCTATTTTCTTTTTGTGTTCGAATCAAAAGTCACTCCTGTCTTTCTTCTTCTTTCTCCGTGCAGTGGTTGGAGTATCATCGATATGCGGGAGTGACTCGGTTCTACTGGTACGACGAGGCCAGGAGCGATGAGGAGGACCAGGTGTGTGTGTGTGCGTGTGTGTGTGTGTGTGTGTGTGTGTGTGTGTGTGTGCGTGTGTGTGTGCGTGTGTGTGTGTGTGTGTGTGTGTGTGTGTGTGTGTGCGTGTGCGCGTGCGTGTGCGTGTGCATGTGCGTGTGTGTGCGTGGTGCGCGTGCGTGCGCGTGCGTGCGTGTGCGTGTGCGTGTGCGTGTGCGTGTGTGCGTGTGCGTGTGCGTGTGCGTGTGCGTGGCGTGGGCGTGGGCGTGGGCGTGTGCGTGTGCGTGTGCGTGTGCGTGTGCGCGCGCGCCCGTGCGTGCGTGCGTGTGTGTGTGTGTGTGTGTGTGTGTGTGTGTGTGTGTGTGTGTGTGTGTGTGTGTGTGTGTGTGTGCAAGTGTGTTGCGTACTCATGGCGCTGCTGTTTACCTGATACGCCAGGAGCGCTGAAGAGGACCAGGTGAGTGTGCGGGGAAGGCATGGCTGCTGCTGCTGCTGCTTTTTTCACCTCGCAACCATTCAAGTTACTTGTTTCTACTGTATGCCCCCTACATTGACTTGACACCCACCTGGTGGTATACCACCGCGTGCGCGAGCTTAGAAGAGGGCTGGAAGAAGCTTGTACATTCCCCTCCCCTCTCCACCACCACAGGACGGCGTGCCCTACATCGACGCCGGCCTGGTGGTATACCACCGCGTGCGCGAGCTGCAGTGGACTCAAAGTCCCTCCATCTCTCCCTCCCCAACCACCACAGGACGTGGTACTCGCTCCCTACATCGATGCCGGCCTGGTGGTATACCACCGCGTGCGCGAGCTGCAGTGGACTCAAAGTCCCTCCATCTCTCCCTCCCCAACCACCACAGGACGTGGTGCTCGCTCCCTACATCGATGCCGGCCTGGTGGTATACCACCGCGTGCGCGAGCTGCCATTCGTGGAGGGCAACTTCACAGCGTACCTGGAGAGGGTGTTTCGTTGCAAGCAGGGGGCTGCTTACAACCACTGGGTGCAGGTGGGGAGGGGGGAGGGGAGAGCATTTGAGTGACCTTGTAAGTCACCTTGCACCTATTTGACTGTTCCGATGCAAGCAAGTGGCTGCATACATTCACTGGGTGAAGGTGGGGAGGGGGGAGGGTTAAGTAACGAGATCACCCTGTACCTATCTCACGGTGTTTCTTGAGAAGCTTTTCACGCCGAGGCTAGCAATGGCAATATCAAAGGCTTTGTCTCTCACTGGCTAGAAATAAGTGATTTTCCAACATTATCAATGGTTTTGTCGCTCCTTCTCCCTCCTCTCCCTCCCGCTCTCCTGTTCTTTCTCCCAGCAATATGCATCAGAGGTGCACTAAGCTTTTCACATCAGAAACCGCCTCTCTCCTTCCCTCCCACTCTCTTCTCCCGGTCTCACATCAGAAGAACCTTTCTCTCCATCTTGCCATTCCCTTCTTCCTCGCAGCACTATGCATCGGAGGTGCACTGGGCTTTCCACACCGATATCGACGAGTATTTCTTTACCCCGTGCGGCACGCCGCCCGGCTTTCTTCGTCACTACCTGCAGACACTGCCAAATACGACAGTACAGGTGGGTGGCTTCGTTTGTTTTTTTGCTGCAGCATTACCAGATGCAGAATCTACTTGGCCACATGGGTGAGTATGTGAGCACACACACGTGTGTGCATGCACGCGCAAGCACACCTGCACGCACGCGCACGCCCGCGCACGCGCACACACACACACACACACACACACACACACACACATGCACGTGCGCACACACGTGCTCCCCATCAGTCTCAATTTCAGCACACTCTCGAGCACTGCACCGTCGCATACCCACTCCAACAGCGCATCTTCATCCAACCCAACTCGTTTTCCTCTGAGACCCCATAGGGCCCTTGAGACCTTGAGACAGCTCAAAGACACGTTCCTAGAGCGCTACACGCTGCGCATGCCCAACTCCTCCCAACGCCTCCAAACTCCTCCAATCCCCCCTCTCCTTACCCTTGCCCGTTCCCTTTTGCGTTCCCATCCATCGGTACAGGTCCTGATTCAAAACCTCATTGTCCTGCGCGACCCCATTGGTCCCGATACCGACAGGCTGTGCGACTCCCAACTTCTCCCATCCAGCGCTACATTCTGCACACGCCCAACTCCTCCCAACTCCTCCCAACTCCTCCCAACTCCTCCCAACTCCTCCCAACCCCTTCCCAACGCCTCCAAACCCGATCCCCCCTCTCCTTAGCGCCACATTCTGCACACGCCCAACTCCTCCCAGCGCCACCACAAAACTCCAAACTCCTTTCAACTTCTTCCAAATTCCTGTATTTACCCGTGTCCCTTTTATTCTGGTTCCCATCCACTCACAGGTCCTGGTTCAGAACATGATATTTCTTGGGGACCCCATCGGTCGCAACACCGACACGCTGCTAGAGCACTACACCCGTCACGTCACGTGCCCGACTCCTCCCAACTCCTCCCAACTCCTCCCTCCTTCCTGTTGTCACCCATTTCAGGTCCTGATTCAGAACATGTTTTTCATCGGCGACCCATTAGGCTCTGACACTCACACTCTACTAGAGCGCTACACCCTACGCATGCCCGACTCCTCTGGGCGCCACCGCACCAAACCCATTGCATGGCTGCCCCTCGCCGCGCACCTCATGGACGACTGTATCAACCCCCACGAGTGGGCTGTGATGGAGAACGGGCCGCCGCCATTGGTCGATATGGAAAAGATGAGGCTGAATCACTACTGGGGGGACCGCGCCGGGGTGATTTCGGACAATACCCCGGTTTACACGATGGATGTTACGATGATGGACGAGTATGGGGACGGGCTCGTGAAGGATGAGTCAGCAAAGGTGAGGGGTGAGCTGGAAAAGGTAAGGGATGAGCTGGCGTGGGGGGGGGGATGAGCTGGGACATACGAGCTGTTAGCAGTATGGCTGGTATGAAAGAGAACAGTGCTGTGAATATACATCGTGGATCTTTTGTGGTTGCGGCAGCCCATGCAATTGGCATGGGCGGTTCACAAAGGAGTGCACCCATGCTCTTACAATCCCTGCCTTCTTACTCACGTCCCCACTGCCCCTCCACATACCCTCCCCCACCCCCTCTTCTTCCTCCCCCCCGTCTACGCTTTCCCCCTACCCCTTTTCGTTGCCTCCAACCCACCTTCCGTCCTCCCCCTCCTCTCTCCCCCACGCCTCCTGCCCTTGGCAGCCCATGGGAGTGTGGCTGCGGCAGCGCATGCAGGTGGCATGGGCGGTCATATCAGCACAGGCGGTTCACAAGGGAGTGTTCTGATGCACTTACATTCTCTGCCATCGTACCCCCCCTGTCCCCCCCCTCTCTCCCCCCACCTTCCAGCCCATGGGAGTGTGGCTGCGGCAGCGCATGCAGGTGGCATGGGCGGTCATATCGGCACAAGCGGTTCACAAGGAGAGGGAGCGGCTCAGGAAACGTGTGGCTGAGGTGAAGACACGTGTCAGGCAGCTATTGGCTCTCGTTCCCCGGCTGTTGAAGGGGAGAGAAGTTGGGGGAGTGAAGAGAGGAGGGGGAGAAGAGGGAGATGGAAGAGGAGGGGGGGTGAAGGGAGGGGGGGGAGGAGAGGAGAGTGAGGAAGCAGGGAAGTTGGAGGGTGGGGTGAGCATGGAGGTAAGTGGGTTGGCAGGGGATGAGGCCATGGGGGAGGGTGATGGTGATGGTGAGGGTGACATGATGCTGGGAGGGAATCTCATGATGGGTGAATTTTTCCTTGCAAATATTCTCAATGCCACTAACGCTACAGCTGCTGCAAATGCTACACTTGGTGCAAGTGTGGTAGCTGGAGCAAATGTTACCCTGGGTGCGAATGTTACCGCGGGTGCGAATGTCACTGGGGGTGCGGGTGTTGCCAAGGGTGCTGCTGCTGAGGCGACCAGTGGCGCGAACAGCAGAGAAGCAAGAATCGCCTCTTCTTTGCCTGCTGTGGCAGTGATTGGTGCGAATGCGACTTCTGAGGCGCCTCAGAAGTCTTCTTTGCCTGCAGTGACAATCAGAGGTGCGAAGAGCTGGGAAGCAACAAGAGTCGATTCTCAGGCTGCAGTGGCTGTGGCTGTGGCACCCCCGGCTCTGATTGAGGGTGCTGCTGATGCCACCAGGGGTGCAATCAGCAGAGAAGCGAGAAAAGAAGATTCTCAGGCTGCAGTGGCTCTGGGAATCCCCCCACTGATTGGTGCTGCTGGTGCTACCAGAGGTGTTCCCGATGCCACCAAGGGTGCTGCTGATATCACCAGAGGAGCTGCTGCTGACGTTACCAGAGGTGCTGACGTTACCAGAGGTGCTGACGTTACCAGAGGTGCTGACGTTACCAGAGGAGCTGCTGATGTTACCAAAGTTGCAAGCACTGGAAGAGCGAGAAGAACCGATTCTCTGCCTACAGTGGCTGTGGCACCTGAGGTTGCTGCAGTACGGGATGCTCAAGTTGGGACCCGCAAAAAGTCAACCTCCATAGAGCCTGGTGCAGGTCGAGATGATGTGAATCAGAGGGATGTGAGGGTTAGAGTTCCAGCAGCAGTAGCAGCTGTGCGTGAGGGTAGGAGAGGGGATGAGAATGGGAAGATGCGTGTTTCGGGGATGTCGGCTAGTGGTGCTGTTGCTGGCTTGAGTGGTGGTGGTGAGGGTAGAGGAATGGTGGAGAGTGGAGCAGCGTATGATCCAGGAAAGGAGCAATTGGGTCAGCACGAGGTGTTGCTTGAAAGGCGGACGGATGACATAGAGAAAAACGATGGTAATCTGAACAGGAGTTGATTTCTTCACTGAAACTGTACTGCCGCCATGTATTACCACCACCAAATATTGGAGCCATACTGTACTTATATAAATGGCCTACATATTGTGAATATTCTCCAGACTGATCTCAGCCGAACTGTTGTCCACTTGATTGGCTGATGGCAGTAAGATGAAATGAAGCTGTGAGATCTTGCTCTTCCACCCAGTTGAGCAACCTATTTGGAGGTCCCTTAGATGAAATGTCATGATCACCGGTAGGTTGAATCTGTGGTTATGATGTACGGAAACATTTCTTGTGTGGCTAGATAGCAAGCAGCTAGAATCACGGATTGATGATGAGAGCCCCAAATAAGTGAAATCTTCATTGATAACAACCCAACAAATTGCAATCAAACAGAGTAGGATAGTACCGTAGTAGGGCACTCAAGAGACAAGGGATGCAAATGTAGGCCCTGCTAAGAGCAGCACAACAAAGATGCTCCTTCATACCATACCTGCAATAGGGCGTGCGTGCGGCACACACACACACACACACACACACGCGCGCGCGCGCGCGCGCGCGCACACACACACACGCACCCACACCCACACACACGCACACTCATACACACACACACATCCAAGGGCACAAGAGGCGCACCCTCCTCAACCCTCCCCTTCCATGCAGCAGAGGGTCACCACAGAGCGCCCTTCTCAACCCTACTGGCTTCACACACGACTACTAAGTTGACTCGGATCAACCCTCCCCTTCCATGCAGCAGAGGGTCACCACAGAGCGCCCTTCTCAACCCTACTGGCTTCACACACGACTACTAAGTTGACTCGGGTCAACCCTCCCCTTCCATGCAGCAGAGGGTCACCACAGAGCGCCCTTCTCAACCCTACTGGCTTCACACACGACTACTAAGTTGACTCGGGTCAACCCTCCCCTTCCATGCAGCAGAGGGTCACCACAGAGCGCTCTTCTCAACCCTACTGGCTGCACACACACGACTCCTGAGTTGACTCGGGTCAACCCTCCCCCTGCAGCAAAGGGCCGTCTTGTAGCTGTGTGCCACTGCTCCCTGTGTGAGAGGGCCTTGCCCTGCTGCCGCCCTCTCCTTTGCCCTGCATCGTGCCCTGCTGAACCCTTGCATCATGCTTCAAATCGCCCACTACTCAGTGGCACGCACATCAGTCTTCTTCTCAGAGGCAGGCACCTTCACCTCCTTCTCAGGGGCAGGCACCTTCACTGGCTGCTTCTCAGGGGCAAGCAGCTTGGGGCCAGAGCCCGGGTTGCCTGTCCCCGGCTTCTTGGGGGCATGCACCTTGGGCCCAACTCTCAGGTTGCCCTTCCCCAGCTTCTTCCCACCGCCCGGCGTGCCAACAGCGGGAGCAGTGAGAGGCTTAACGCCAGTAGAGCCCTGGCTGCCCATCCCCAGCTTCTTCCCGGGGAAAGACTTGACGGCTGCCTCGAGGTTGATCTTAGTAAGAGCTCCCGCCCGGGGGTATTTCCTCCCGCGCTGCGGCTTCTTCTTCCCTCCCTTGGGCGCGAACCTGCCAGTGTGGAGCATCTTATCAACCGACTTGCGCACGTTCCTCCCCGCCTGCCCGAAAGAGTTCTTCACGGTGCCGCTCAAGTCGTCCGACGACTGTTGAGGTGAAGCCCTGCACGCGCCTGGTTTCACGTGTAGCAGCTCTATGCGAAGTAGCGAGGTTTCGCATACCGCATATCGGAACTTCGGTATTCGCCGAGTACACTCCAATAGTGCACTTCTGTATGCACTGTTCAACACTGGACCGAATTGGAGGGAAGTGACGACATTGCACAAACGAGTATGTGCAAATGTCTGTTGCGAACACGAGCGCAACTACTCCTGGACAGGTAGAAAATACACCTGACGGTACTTTCACCTGACGTTTTCACCTGATGGCGTTTTCACCTGGCGGTGCCAACCTGGAACCGCATACTAGAGTAGGTGCTTGCACGTTCTCCTTGAACAACGTTCTTCATAAACAACGTTCTCGTACAACATTCTCGCACACGTCACTATGTTTCCTATAAGGTTCATGTTGTATCTGTTGTAATCTATCAATTAATCAATTTCTTCCTTCAGTTACTGCATACCAAGTTATAGTTCCTGAATACCAGTATTCGGTCTCCAACAAGTCCGTACACGTAAAACTCGCACCTCTCTCTTCGATTGTGCAACTCTGCGCCTAGGCTCTCCCACAATCGCCTATTCTCCGCATGGTGCGGTGAGCGTGAACGCATACGCGAACTTCAGATAGCCTCGTATACGATTGACGAAGTTGTCAACCTTGGGCCGGCAGCCACATCGATTCCGTATGGCGGGCGAGGACGCCGCTACGGAACGCATGGACCTGGAAGCGCAGGTCGCTGCTTTGCGGGAGCGCCATAGCGCTGGCGAAATCAGCGCCGAGGATCTGGAGCTGATGATCGAAGGAGCTCGTTTGAAGTGCGCTCGCAATCACCCACCTCCTCGCGCTGAGGCGGAAATGGAGTCCGCTTCTCCCTGTGCTGAAGACAACAACGTCAACCTCGATGGCAATGTAGGCGCAAGAGTTACGCGCGGTGAACTACGAGGGGCCGTCAGAGTGAACACCATGAGTGTCGGTGGAACGCAAGCGCAAGTTCTTCGGTCAGCCGCCGCAGCGAGTGCGCGTAGTGACGCGCACGGTCGTCGCAACTCTGCACGACAAATTGGTGGCGGACCCTCGTGGACGGCAAATGCGTCAACTGTACGCGATGGTGGAATCGCTCCGGAATACGGATACTTCAAGTTCTCACCCGACAATATCGTCGTGCCGAAACTGCTTGAAGGGCGTCACGACTTGACAACGTGGGTCGAGTCCATTGAGCCACAATTGGAGATCGCGCAGCTGAAGAAGTTCGTTGACGGCACGGTGGAGGTGCCGCCTGAGGATGACGTTGAGCGGCGCGCACAGTTTCATTCCGCACAGCTGTTGACGTTTATGGTCATCTCAAAGTGTTGCTCGCCGGTCGTCCAAGTTGCATTGAAGCCATGCCGACTTGGGGTGGACGCTGGTTTTCAAGCTTGGCAATTCATTATGAAGACCTACAAGGCAAGGGATGACCTTTACATCGGCCAGCTGGAACAACGGTTGACAAATCTGGAGATGGGGGAGCACGAAAGCGCAACCGCATACTGCAATCGCGCACAACAGTTTCTTGCAGATCTGCGCATGGCTGGCGTGGACTACTCAATGTCTTCGTATGTCACGCATGCCATCAAAGGTATGCCTGCAAGCTACAATCTCCTTCGATGCATGGTGAAACTCCCAGGTGTACGGGAAGAGCTCGACGAGGATACGCTTTCGAGCTACATCATTGAAGAGGAGTTCACACTTGAATCAGAGCGGCCCAAGGAGCAGCTTCTCCCTCAAGTCAACTATGTTGCGTCAAAGCAGCAGCGGCAACAACAGAAGTGAGGGCAATCGCGCGGAGGAGGTGACACTGACAAACACGTCAACCGCGTGAAGACGACCAAGAATGACGACCGTTCTGGTGGCGTAAAGCGCAACTCTCAACGATACTGCTTCGTTTGTGGAGATCCCGAGCACTTCCCAAACCAGTGCCCCGACCGCGTCAACAAGGAGGTGGGCGATGGTCAGGAAGCTCCGCACGGACGATCGCAAAACCGTCAACTCGCGAAACCGCATACCACAAGGACAAACAACACTCGGATTCCAAGGACAAGCAGACGTCGGATGAGGGAACCTCCCACGGAAAGGGTGCGAAGGACGCCCCAAGTGACGATGTGCATCACAGAGGGCAAGCGTCGTGTTCGATGGTCGGCGTGGTGACGGACGCATCTGTGGAACCGGCTATTTCTTTGGCTCCGGAAGCTGGCGAGGACTTCCAGGCGGTCGCTGCAGTTGTGCAAGCAAATCCGACCGTGGTCCTCCTCGACATTGGCTGTTCTCATCACCTCATGGGGACGCGTGAGGCATTCGTGGAGATGAATGCGGAAGGCGACGTTCACCATGTGCGTGGATTCAACGGCGCCATTCAGCCCATACAGGGGCGCAGCACAATTGTGTCAGAACTATGCATTTATATGCTCTAGGCTGTAGTGGGGCACTCCTTATGGGGTACAGCCCAATTAGGTTTTGCTATACTAACCCTGTACTGCTGTCATTCTATCATTCTTCATTCCTATTTCTGACATGGTTTTAGAGCGGGTTCCCTAGTGGGAACGTTTTTTTTTTTAGGGCCCACCACGATTTTTTTTTCCTGCCCTGCCCGAAGCGCGCCTCGCGCCTGCCTCACCTGCGCCATCGCGCGCCCTGCCTACTGCCGCCCGTAGCGGCCCTGCCCTAACGGCCCGTCGCGGGCCTGACCTAGCCGCCCGTCGCGGCCCTGCCCTGTTGCCGCCCGTCGCGGCCTGACCTAGCCGCCCGTAGCGGCCCTGCCCTGCCGCCCCCCGGCCCCCCCCCTTTTGTTGCGGCCCTGACCTCGCCGCCCGTCGCGGCCCTGCCCTGCCGCCACCCGTCGCGGCCCTGCCCTGCCGCCACCCGTCGCGGCCCTGCCCTCAGCCGCTCGTCGCGGCCCTGCTCTACCGCCGCCCCGTCGCGGCCCTGCCCTGCAGCCGCCTTGTCGCGGCCCTGCCCTGCTGCCGCCCCGTCGCGGCCCTGCTCTGCCGCCGCCTCGTCGCGGCCCTGCCCTACAGCCGCCCCGTTGCGGCCTTGACCTAACCGACCGTCGCAGCCCTGCCCTGCACCCGCCCCTGGTAAGCGCCCGCCCTGCTAAGCGCGCCGCCGCGCCCGCCTGCCTGCCGTGCCGCGCCGCCCAGCCGAGCCGCGCCGCCCAGCCGAGCCGCGCCGCCCAGCCGAGCCGTGCCGCCCTGCCGAGCCGCACCGCTCTGCTGGACCGCGCCGCCCTGCCCTACTGCGCTGCGCTGCCCTCCCCGCGCTCCTCCTGCTGCTACTGCTGCTACTGCTGCTACTGCCGCCATGGCTAGCCCTATTGTTCTTACCTTCGATGCTGAGGGTCGTGCGGTCAATTTCGACGTTTGGGTAGATGACCTGCAGCTCTATCTTCAGTGCGACTCTAGGGACGGAGTCTCGCTTTTCGATCACACGTCCGGCACCTCTGTAGCACCTGCTGCCACTGCTGACAGTACTGTTCGCTCGCAGTGGACTACTCGTGGCTAAACGCGAAATGCGCACACTTGTCAAGGCGGTGCGGACAATGCTGCTGCATATGAACGTGCCACACCATTGGTGGCACCTCGCGCTTCGCCAAGCTATGTGGGTGCGCAACAGCATTGAGCGCGCTTCTCTACCTTCCGGAGCAACACCGTATACGCTGATGTACAAAACGAAGCCGGACCTCACCATGGCCCGGGTGTGGGGTTGCATGGTGCAATACATGGTCCCGCAACATCAGCGTGGTGGGAAGCTTGCGCCGAAAGCCAGCTGGGGTCTTCATCTTGGCGTTTCTCCCACGAGCAAAGGTTGGGAGGTGCTGGGATCTCGCTGCAAACCGCATCGTCACCACTGTGGAGGTGATATTTTACGAAACCCAGTCCCTAGATGGCTAGAAAGCCGAGCGCGCGCCAGGAAGTGTACACAAGGTATCCACTTCGGCGGTCTCCGCTCCTTCACCGGGTCTTCTCGCTGATGAGATTGAAGACCCGCTTGACGCCCCGGCTTCAGAACCTGCACCTCCGCACGTCCCCACGACCATCCCCAGCTCTACCCTCCCACCCGTGTACCCGCGTGTGGTGCCAGTCACCAAACCGTCAACCTCCTCCGCGCCTGCTGTCATCTCCTCTCCGCTTCCAACCGCGGAACGCATCTCTCGTCCCACCCCCGACACCCTGTCCAAGTCGGCCGACAACGATGAAGGGAGACATGACGCGCTACCTTCAGCGCCACGCATCGGCATCGTCGACGGTCGACTTGCCGCATTTCCTGAAGTTGGTGCGCCTGATATGCAGAAACCGGCGCCTGGTATGCAGACACCGGTAGGGGAGCAGGTGACAGGGGAGCAGATTAGCGACAGCACGTCGAGCGACGTTGTGGAGGTCATCGGCAAAGTTGCAGGGGAGTCGTCTGGAGACAGTTCCTCGAGCGATGTGGTGGAAGTCATGCTGCCGACTCGGCATTCCACCCGCTCCAACTTTGGTGTGCCTCCAAAGAAGTGGTCCGATGTGTGTCCGGTATTCGCTAACGCACTTCTTGATGACGCAAACGCGGATACCACGCTGCCAGAACTGGATCCCGATATGTACACTGACCCTGAACGACGGTGGGATATCTCCACGATGACCGTCAAGGAAGCGCTAGCGAGCTGGAAGGGGAAGGCGGTGAAGGCAGAAATGGAGGAGGAGATGCGCAGCCTTCTTGCCAACGGAACATGGGAGCTGGTGCCTCGACCGCGCGGTGTCAATGTCATGAAGAACCGGTGGGTTCTTACGACAAAGTACAACGTCGACGACACGGTCGCCCGTGAAAAGGCACGTCTCGTCGTGAAGGGATTTACGCAGATCTATGGTGCGGATTCCGATGAGACGTATTCACCGGTCGGCAGCTACGTTACGCTACGCATTTTCCTCTCCATCGTCGCGGTACTCGATCTTCACGTCATGCAGCTGGACATGAAAAACGCATACCTGCAGAGCAAGTTGGATCAGCTGGCGTACTTCATTGACAGTACATCTCGCGTATGCAAGCTTCTGAAAAGCTTGTACGGACTCAAACAGAGTCCACTGCTGTGGTATTCGGCACTCGACAGTGTACTCATTGGCGGCGGATGGAGCAAGAGTCAGGTGGACGAAGCACTCTACTTCAAGTTCGGTGATGACGGAGTCGGTTGCTGGCTACTCGTCTATGTTGACGATTTGCTCGCCGCAAGTAGCAGCCTCGAGATGCTGAAGGACCTCCGTGAGCTTCTGCAAAACGCATTCGAGTTGCGGGAAATCACTCCCGCGCAGAAATATTTGGGGCTAGAGATAGTGCGGGACAAGTCTGCGCGAAAGTTGTGGCTGCACCAAAGCGCATACGTGGACAAGCTGCGTCGCCGCTTTGTTGACGAAGAGCAGACAGGTTGCCGCCCGAAAACGCCTATCTCGGTCGATGCGTACACCGAGTTGACATTTGACGACGAAGAATACCAAGCGCGTGAAGAGGAGGAGTACCGCCAGAAAGTGGGTTCGCTCCAATTTGCCGCGACCACGACCCGTCCCGACATTGCGTACGCATGCAGCAAGTTGGGCTCGGGGTTGACGATTCGCAGTGACCAGCACTGGAGGGAGCTGGACCGCTGCATTGACTACGTGGTGAACACCAGCGATTTCGCCCTCGATTTCGGTGGTGGACTGGATACTCTGCGCCTGGTGGGGTATGCGGATTCCGATGACGCGGGTGACCAG